AAATAAAGGCATAAAAGGCCAAAACAAAAAATAATAATACTTAAAATATATTTATTGTATGAGAAAAAAAATGCAACTTGCCCCTCAGGGCTTCCTCAGATGCTCACTCCCATAGGAATAAATTATAAAATGTCTGCACAATGGCAATAAAAAGCAACAGATGATGATTTTTCCTTCTGAATCTAAATTATAACTGTTTGTGTGTGAAGATCAGAAATATCTAACTGATTGTTCTCCTCGAGTTTTCCTGGAAAAATCAAAGTTTAAAATCCAAAAAGTTAAGAGAAAACTTCACTGTTGCATCATATTTTGACCAATTTTAAAAGTTTGACTGCATCTGTGCTCAGCTCAGTCACAACTTTAAGTGCTGATACTATAAACTTCCACTGTGGACATTAATGGGTCGACACTCACCGCCAGGCTGGAAACTATAGAGATCTGTCCTGCTGAGCGACATGTCAAACAGAGGGTTACTTTGGGTGTACGAGACCCGGTCCACTGAGGTGTCCATGTTCTCTCCAGAGTCCCACTTTCTCTTCCTGCTTATGGGCTCTTATAACACACAGTGCATGAAGCAGGGTGGGACTCTCCCCGGATTGCAACACATCCTCCCCACGAAAACAGCTCCTGGAGATTGAAGCAGAGGAAGGAACTGCGTCTGATTTATAGCTGAGATGGAAAAAAAGCAGCAGCATACCCATGCAGAATGAGGAAGCTGGTCCTCCAACAAGAAGGTCTTGCAAAACCACAATAAAGAGAATTTTCATATAAAGTATAAAGTAGAATGACCGGGGAGATTATTCTGTTCAGTCGGCGAGAGAGGGTCACAGTGAATTGTTAGATTGGGCGTGTTGTGAAATATTCATCTAAAGATAGACGTCTTACGACCTCATTGTATTTCCTTCTCAAGAAAGATTATATAACTCTGCTTCATTAACTTTATTTATACAGAAACTTGTAGCTCAAAGTGACTGAAACACGACTAAAAACTTCAAAGTCGATACAAAAATAAACTCTAAGGAGACGAATGATGTAAAAAGCAGCAATATCGCCTGATTAAATAACATACAATATACATATACAACATACAATACACTTTAAATTTAAATATTAATTGTTACTTTAGTGGACAACTGCAGAAGATGGCTTCCTTACTGTGGCTCCAAGTTTATAAAATGTGATTATTTATTGGCTGTCGAAGCAAAATCAATAATTTCTTGAACATTTCTTGAGCCTTTTTGAGTGTATTCTCCTCCTCCTTACAGCTGTGGCCTGAATAACACTGACAGAAACCTGTTTTCCTGTCTGGAGGTGATAAGATAACAGCGATCCTCCTCAGTTCAAGGTCTCTGCTCTGTTTGACTGTTCTCGGTCCTCTCAGCTGAGACTGGGTGGCTCCCTTTATCGATGAAAGCATACTTATGAATATTATATTACCTTCCTGACGATAGATCCTCCTCACTGTGACACACTGGAACTTTAAGACTCTCTGAGCGCTAGTTGCCCAACTTTCAGAGGTTGAGCCAGTTAGCTGTTGAAATAACAGATCACAACTGCAGGTTCAACCACAGAGCAAAATACCAAA